TATTGGCCACGAACAGATGAAAGGTGAGAAAGAACTTGTTGAGAAAATATTGAACACGGAGATAAATATTTTCCTGTCCATTAGAGATGGAAGTGGACTGATGCAGCATATGGAGGATTTCTATTACATTTCACTGCTAGAGGTACCAATTCTTTTCAGAGATTTAGATGACATATTACGTGCATGTGTAAAAATCTGATGGTTAATTCATCTGTTTCAGAATGTCAGATCGAACTATCAAACTGTTAACGGTTCACAACCAGTTGAAGACCGAAAATTGTCTATTTAAAAAGGATGTCCAAATTTATCCCGATAAGACATAAATCTGCAGTAGTTGATTCTTGCATATGGCCACCACATCGTAAAGTGCAGTTTCTTCTACCTGGTGATGTTCAACTCAGTTATCTTAATTGGAAATTATGTTACATCTGCTTCAGTACTGCTTTAAAATCGTTGTTACAAATTTTATGCACTGCATGAGAAGTGTATATATATTTGTACATGCATTAAATTTTATGATATTCTACATATAAAGGGAACATGTCGATATTAAGTTACAAAATTTACCATTATTTTGACTAATTCTTTTTATTTCGTAATTTTGTAATGTTGGATACAAACTATTGAGGAATGAATCTTTAACTCTTTCCATACGAACAGATAAAATGTTCATAACAGTGACACAATTAATTATGAAATGATGATATCCTTTCGTAGGTAACTTTTAGGCCCTGTTTGAGAGCCATTAATTTCTTGCAATATATTATAGAATAGTAGATTGATGGAGAATGTGTGGTTAAAAAATAAGGAAATTTTATTTGTTTGTGTGTAGAATATTTTATTGTGTGAATGTGCGGTGAATAATGATACTGTAGCAAACAATTTAAAATTTTAAAAGATGACAAACATGAGCTTAATTTTTTGAACTCGTGAAGGTTTTAGCTTTTATCTATAAGGAAATCAAATATTAGAAAACGTCCCTTTGGACCACTTAAAAGTACTCGTCGTAACAGAAGTTTTTCAATTGAGTTCAATAAGATATCAAATAATTAGCTTTTGCTCGCATGAGTAGGTACAACAATAAGTTGGTTGATAGATTACATGTTGGGATTTTTGTGGTTGAGCCTTGCAAATCACTCATACCGCTAGCTTCACATTGCTCGAGTTTGTCAAAGGTCATATGATTACATTTGATATCAAAGTGAGACATATTGGATATAAGCATGAAAATTTTGGTACATTTGATATCATTGGATTGCGTAAAAGGGCACCGTGAAACCAAGAGAACGTTTGAGACACATCATTAGATAGTATTGCAGTACAATGGACAATATATTAACTTCTTCTTTATTTTTTTTCTTTTAATCCTACTTGTTACATTAGTATTGACAGTACCGTAAAGACTCCAACTGGTAGATGTGGGATCTTTACGAGAGCTTAAAAGAAATTATCTGCGGTAGGTTTGAAGGTTTAGGAGTACGGTATGGAAAACCCTGAGGTAGAAAACTCCTTTGCTACCCTCATTTTTACATAGCATTCAAACGTTTTGAGGGATTTGACCATTTTGCATCTTGCAGGTCCCTTTGAGGAGCGCTTTTTCATGTATTAACGTTCAGTAGACCACTTTATTACCACACGAATATTGACTTTGCACTGTATAAAGTATCAATCAGTTTCACACACGTTTAGGATCTGCTTCCTTGACCTCTTTTTGTGCTTACGAATCTAATGAAGGTTAGAAATCTACATGTAAAGTAGTATCTTCATACGAATTAAGACTTGGAATTTCATCTTAAAATGTTAGCATTATAAGTTGGACTATATTTTCATCTTTATTCGATGTGAGATATATCTGCAAGATGATGACTTGTTTGAATAAACTAATCTTGAAATTTGCATGCTCATTTTTTTAGTTTTAATTAGATCGAATTATTTTGAGTAAATCAATCTTGAAATTCATATCTTCATTTTTTTTAGTCTTAATCAAATCAAGTTGCTCGTTAGAGATTAATGGGATTTGATATCATATTAAAATTTGAGTTTTAATCTTAAAAGAGCAACCTAAGATGAGTATTTCAAATCCATACAAGTTGGTTTATGGTTTAATTTTTATTCGATGTGAGATTTTATCCTTAATAATACATACTAATATATATGTTATAACCTGCGCAACTACGTCTTCATGTGCTAATATGTACATAGGTGCAAGTTGTTATCCATTGTTCCTTTTATAATCGATGGTGCCTGTTGGGGTTTTGATTCCATTTTACGTATTCGTTTTCATTTATACAAGTCATGTTTGCTTAAAAAATGAAATTCTAAAAATGTGAAAGCAGCATAAATATGGAGTCATGCATTATATAGTTAATTCTAAGTTATCATAGGCTAGTTTTTGCACCTTCTAGACTTCAAATTATTAAAAATTCTCTAGTTACGAGTTACTTTTTTCTCTAGTAAGCCTTAGAGGCTATAAGAACATACTAAATTCAACCTAATGTGGACTTATATCTATGTGATCTATGTAAGTGTTATGCCCTAAGTCCAATCAGCTTTGGACATAAACACTTTGAATATATATAATCAATGCATATGTATGGCAATATCTATTATTTAATTGAATTAATATTCTAATAAATTAAATAATCAAATCCGTAGATTCAAATCTTAGTGATTTGTTAATCACAAGGAGTTGTGATTGTGTGATACAAATTACATATGACTGAATCTTAAATCGTCCGTGGTCGAAGTAATAACGAGATACGGATATCATTATTACGGATAGACTATCGCATGTGGCATTCTTACTTGTGAAGTAAGTAGCTGATCTCACAAGTTAAAGTGTGGTGACACTTGAATGAACACGTGGATGTTTTGTTGTAGAACAAAACATTGGAGACCCGCTGAGAGATTCCACATGGATAACTATCTAAGTGTTAGTGGTTAATCTCTAACGTTCGGTAGTGGAATTGGTCCTTTGACTTGAGGTCATCATAGTACCTTATATGAGGGCAGACATACTTTGGTGGTGTTGGATGTTGCTCTGTCAAGGGTCGCTAATACAGCAT